AATGAGCAGCATATTTTATTTCGTTTTTTTTTTTTTTTTTCAAATGGACTAGTTGCAACTCAGAGAGCAGTGAAGGTCAGGTGTGTTGTGACTGCAACTTTGCATCAAGTTTAGAGGGTCTTTGCACAAAACAGTTTTTTGTAAATAGTATAGAACCTTTTTGACATTGTCGATACTGTCGACCTCATAAAACATTTTAATATTTTTAGGTGGAATTCCTTTTGTGCTTACAAATGTTCCACAGTGCTTGCTTACTTACTCGTGCAGTAATCCAATTTACGGTACAACGTGCTGCGTTACTGATAAGAATCGCACCAGTGGTGGCTCTAGTGGTGGTGAAGGAGCTCTTATTGGTTCAGGTGGTTCAATTATTGGTATTGGTAGTGATGTTGGCGGGTCAATTCGTTATCCGTGCCATTTCAATGGAATCACTGGAATTAAAGTTGGCAAATTAACAAGATTTGTTTGCGACTTTTATCGAATTTATTAGGTTTTCTGTAAATGACTAAATTTAAGAAATCTGCAGGTTGGAAACATGGATGAATTTGATTATCTGCATACTTATTAAACCTAAGCACTGTTACTGATGAAGTTTTTAAGTGTGATTTGCACTTTTACACATGTAACAAGTACTTTATTCAACTATTTTATGAAGTTTATCATTCGTTCTGGTTTCATTGAAGATAAAACCTACTTTATTTAGCCATCTCATTTACGGCTTTCTTCGAGTTTTATGGATGGTTCAGTACCTGGACGTGTTCTTGTAGATTGTTCACAGGGACCGATGGCTGCTGAAGTTTCAACGTTAGTATCATTTTTGCGAGAAATATGGAAAGACGATTGGATTTCTCAAAGGGATCCATACGTACCTCCAGTGCCGTGGAATGAACTTCAGTTTTCAAAAAATCATTTTAACATTGGTAGTTATCTGACTCTTGAGAAGTTTTACGGCTTATAGCTTTCAAAGCTCTTTAAACTCTGTGACACAAGTAGTAGAGTGAATTTTCTGATTAGTTTACAGTGTAAGTTTACAGTTGCTTTTTAGGATACTATGAAACTGACGGATGGTTTGAACCGACGCCAGCGTTAAGTCGTGCTGTACGAGAATCTGTTGTACGGTTGAGAGGTTTAGGACACAATGTTGAGCCTTTTAAACTTCCAGACATGAAGAAACCTTTTCAGTTGTTTATAGGGGCAGTAACCCTTGATGGAGGTAACTACCTCACATCGAAAATTTCTGACGTAAGTTAAAAAAATAATATTAATTTCTTTTAAAATATATTTAGTTCTAGCAACAGTATTTATACTTTTATAGGTAAGTGCTTATGAATTAGAAAAATAAACAATTGTAGGATATCGTTATGGATGAATATCAGTCTACACTCACATTATACAAGCTTCCTGTGTATCTCAAGCGATTCTTGGGTCTTCTCTTATCGTATTCATATCCAAGGATTGCAGCAGTTCTTCAATCGCTGCCATGTGATACGTCTGATTTAAGAGAAATTTATGCTGAAATTATGGCTTTTCGAGAGCAGTTTGTCAAACTGATGAAGAATCAAAAATTAGACGCTCTGATCTGCCCAGTTCAGGTGGGCATCATATTTCTTGCATCACTTTTTTTATATCGTATTTGTACGCTAACCTGGAATACTTTTTCCAGTGGAACTTGTGCTTTCTCACAATAAGAATTTGCCTTAACTTTTCCAGAGATTCCTGGCTTACTACTTTATCACAACACCTGAATCTTAGGTGATGCCAGCTATCGGTCATGAATATCCAATGAAGCTGTATACTGCAACGTCGTATTGCGGTATTTATAATCTACTGGATTTTGCTGCTGGAACTGTTCGTGTTACAAGCGTAACGACTGAAGATGAAAGAAATCTTGAAGAGTATCCGGTGGTCGATCCATGGTATCAAATGGCTAAAGAAGCAACAGAGGTTCATCTTTATTCAAAATTAGCAACAGTGTTTTTTCTTTTTTTGCAAATTCAGTGTGGAGCTGGAGTAGATAAAGTGTGTGTAAAGCAGTTCAAGTGTCGGTTTCATTCTTGTTTGGCAGAATGAGTTTTATATAACCGATGCCAACCACTGTCTGTTACAACTGATTTGCCTGCAGAATTTTTCTGAGTAAACTGTCTGTAAAGAAATATGAAGAAAGTGTCGTTTTTGCACTAATAATGTAACTGTTTTGAATAAATTTGGAAACATACTGCAGTAAGCTAAATGAAAACCCAAGTTTTAGGGAGCCGTCGGACTTCCCGTTGGAGTGCAAGTGGTTGCACCGCCGTATCATGAAGAAACGGTACTAAAAATCCTCCTTGAGCTAGAGCAATCAGTTCATGAAAATCCTATAATATAGCCTTTATCCCGTTCAGTAAGATGATGATTATGACAAAAATTTTATGCACTTCAAGATTCTATAACTGCTTTAGTTGTTTTGTCGGCTATTTTTTGATCTGCACTGTCGCTGCTGGTCATCTGTATGTGTTTACGGAAACATTTTTTATTGTACTTCCGTGTCTAACTTAAAACTCAATTGGATTTTGATGTTTTCTTCCTTTTATTATCGAACACCACGCGTATTGATTAAGACGTCTGGTAATTACTTTCAGAACTTCAATTTGTTATCAACAAATTCAGACTCAATTTTTATAAAATTTTTAAAGGATATCAACACACTAGAAAGTGTTCTTTGAAGTGTAATTTGTTAACATTTCCGATAACGAACCTAAACGGGTTCTTGACTGCAGCTTCAAATAGAATTGTCTAATTTTTTTAGTGATTATAGCTGCATAATTTAATATGTGTTCGTTTTATATAACTGTAAATAAAATGGGATTTGGATGCCACTTTCTTTTTGATTTTTTGTTGCTTATTGATACAGTTATATGAGCAGGATATAGAAGTATAAAATCTCTTCGGCTGTAGTTCTACATCGTAATATGTGGTTCAACAGCTGCATTCGGACAAGTGGCGGCGGTGCTTAACTGGTAATATGTCTTCCAGGTTTTTAAGTATTACTTTCAATTCACTTATTGCACTAAGTTATTAAAATCATAAAAAATTTGACAACCTTAGAAAATTCTAGACATATTGGTAAATTGTGCTATTGTCTCTGTATTTACAGGCTGCAGTTGTAATCACAAATATAGGTTATCGCCACTTTTTTCTTTTGAACGTTTACAGTCATTCGTAAGAGTTCACTTTAACTGAACAAAGAAATGTTGCCAAATTTTGAAAATTTTTTACATGATAAAGTTAGGTGGTTTTATACGAATTTGACAATTAATCTTGTTAGTTTGGGTAATGTCCTTTGATGATTTTTTCGTCTATAAAATTAGTCTCAAGATTTTTTAGCATTATCGTTTCTAACAATTGCTGCAATTATTTTTAATGCGATGGTACATTTGTGAGTGTCTCATACTTTTTATCACTTTTTATCAGTGCGTTCTATGAGAGATTAACTTTTCAAGCAACTAATCATAAGTGTTATTTAAGAAAGCCTTTTGAAGAAATATTCTATAGCTGCTGTCTTCTAATTTGTTTTACTGACTTTACTTTATAAAATAAAAGTTTTGCTTCTTGGTCAATATACGGTTCGCCAAAACTACTACACTCAGCGTTAAAAAAAACTGATCTCTAATTGTCTTTTAAATCAACAATTTTTTAATAAAATTTTGATCAAATAGTTGTTTAAAAAAAAGGAGCTTTATTTTATGATGCAATACAGTAGGGAAGACAAAAATGTAATTTTGAAGTATTTTGAAGAAGAGATTATATAAATAAACACAATGAGGTTGTTGTTGATTATTTAATCAATTTCATTGGCGCAATTTTACTGCCATAGTTTAACCAAATATCACTTATAAAAGCGTTGTTGAGACATTTCTGAAGGACAGATACAGATGCACAAAAACCACAATTAAGGGCTTGACAATATTTATTCTCCTAAGAATATGCTAATTGAATCATCGATACACTATACCCAAATATATGAATGAAAAACCTCTATATGCATATTAAAAAAAATCAGCCAGTTTATTTTAGTCGCGTAAAAATTTTAAGAAAGATCTAAAAATTAATACTGTTTAAAAAATGAAGAAATTTCAAAGTGAGTTTATTTATTTTTTTTTTTTTTTTTT